AGCCCGAAAAACATTCCTAAATGTGATTTAACCGGCCGTGAAAGCCCTGATAGATTAGACTTAACCGGCTAGGACCAAAACCCTTTAGGCCAACTTTTTATAAAAGTGTGTTAGCGAACGGAACCCGATCGAACCACAAAGGCAGGCGAACCGCTGCCCTCAAATGCACACCCGACTATTGCTTTACAGTACCGCAGGGGCATTTTTTTGTGATATGAATCAAAAGTATTTAAACATTTTTTAAACTTGACAAGCCGGCAACGTTGTTTTCAGACGGGATTTGCCAACAGTTTGCGTTCATATTTCATATAGGGGGTGGCCCAAGTAGAAGTTTTCAACAAAGATGTGTTCTGTGGCGCGCTTGAAAGCTTTGAAAAAATTGTGCTGGTGAGGTCACCCTATATACATATACAGAGTGGTCCTAAAACAATTTAAATATCTACGGGGTCTGCTTCATAACTGCTTGGTTGTTTGCATGGAAGTTTTTCAAATCGAGAGGACAATCAGCTAAAAAACATATAGTTTTGCCGACCTCAAAACAACGTTGGCTGCTTGGCACTTGGACAAAGAGTGGTGGATAAGACCCGCTCTTGTTAGGAAATAAATCTAGGTAATATTTGGTACAAGTAGACGACTATCGATTAACTAATTATGTCTTAAGGTGCCAAAGAAAAACATATACAACGCAAACAACATATTCCTACATACATATTTTCAAATCTAACACTTGTTTAAGCGCGACATATTGTTGTATATTTTATTACATGTTGCCCCATCTGTGCGTGCTGCACCGCATATAAATACACAGGGGGTGCAAGTGCTCCTACTAGAGGGCGCCCCATCTTCACAAGTCGATTACAGGGCAATGTTGCCGCACACCCTGCATATTTATATGATGCAGATGTGGGCAGTGCAAAATATCTCTAACCGTTATGTAGCTGAAAATTTTATATTCCTACTCGTAAATGTGTTACGTATATTTTTCCATGGTTTCCAACATATTGCCAACAAACTTTGTATGAGCATTTTATATGGTGAATTATTGGTTTTTAATGGTGGACTTTGTTTCTACATATAAGTATATATTTTCGTTGGAAATATAGAAATTTTAAATGTTGGGTTTAACTGCTTCTAAACGCTGTACAACACATTTTCCAAACTAATCGACGATTAAATTTTTAACCACTGTTTAGTCGAACGGTGCAACCGGGCATTAGCCGCTTCTCATCAAAAAGGTGGTTTTTCGCAGTCAGGGCTTGAAACGCAGGAGTGTTCGGGCTGCAAAAGAACTTTTTCCGGGCGTTTCGCCAGCACGACTAGCTTGCACCTTCAGAGATCAAGTGAACTTGCGAATTATTCTTACGACTACTTAGGCATTTTCAACTGTTCAAAGCCCTGTTCCTTTAAAATTTCCCTTCCGGGCGCACTTGTTGAAAAATCGTTGGTTCTGCGCTGACATTTCCCGACGTTGACATACAAGTGTCACAATGAAACCCCGATTCTACGTGCATATGGGCCCCAAAACAGCCGACAAAGTGTCCTGCATGTGGAAAGGTGGTAGTCTGCGGGCTGCTGAAACTGTCCAGTACTAGTAGCCGATGATTTCAGCCGCCCACATTTCCATATTCTTGCTGATTCTGGGCTCCAGTGGCGTGGCGGCGGCCTGCATGTACAACATCCTCGACATGTACAACTTCAATTGCATCCTCTACGCCCGCGTCTCCCTGGAATATACGTTCGAGGAACGTTTCAAAGCGGTCGATGAAGACAACGGCACGGAAACGACATCGGATAGACCGGAAACAACCGCCCAGGTAGCAAAATATATTCGTACAATAATCAGCCCTGTGCTGTATCATAATAGTAGTTTTCGATACAAGGGCGAAAAACAAATTTTCGCCCTCGTATCGAACACTATTTTTTATTCGAATGAAAGATTACACGAATAATAA